TTTTAGCTTACTCTAGCTTTGCTGCAAATCAAATTTTTTGTTGTATTATAACTACAGAACTGGACAATGAAATATCATATTTGAAAAACGATCGTCACTTTCGCGCGTCTGTAACTCCCTTGTCTTTGAGTTTAAACTATTAGTGTTATACATTTTCTGGAAGCTCTTTTCAAAGGGCTACACAATGGTAATATTAATATTTAGAAATACGGTAAAGACAAGGGAGTTACAGACGCTTTTTCAAATATGATATTTCATTGTCCAGTAGTGTATCTATCAATCAATCAACCAATCAACCAATCAATCAATCTATCTATCCATCCATCCATCCATCTATCTATCTATCTATCTATCTAAAAGATCATTTATCAATCATTTAGGGATCGGCAATTGGAAACGGTTTCATGAATGTGGCCTATTTGCAAAATTCGCTTATCCTCTGGAGCATGTACCATGGACGAATCTCGTTGGAGTGAGTTTAAACATTCAAATTCTTCAAGTCAACCTAAACATCCGCCTCTTTCGTTGAATATTTTCGTTTTTCTATAAGATAGCAAGTGTACTGTAGCATAGAGATGTAGAAAAGCTAATGCTCTTTCAATTACTTCTTTAAAACTTTTCTTGACAAGTTGACAAGCTGATCTCAAGACAAAATTTCGAATCGGAAACGAAAATGTATAGTGTCTATAGTTTATTTGTTTTAAAAATGTGATTGTAAACTCGCTGTGAAGGTAACAGCTTGTCTGTGAAGGTAACAGCTTGTCTGTGAAGGTAACAGCTTGTCTGTGAAGGTAACAGCTTGTCGGGAAGTAACAGCTTGCCGTGAAGGTAACAGCTTGTCTGTGAAGGTAACAGCTTGTCTGTGAAGGTAACAGCTTGTCTGTGAAGGTAACAGCTTGTCTGTGAAGGTAACAGCTTGTCTGTGAAGGTAACAGCTTGTCAACTATAGCAAATTTTAAGGCTATAAGAAAAAAAGTGAACAGTAGAGCAAAAAAAATTCGAAATTTTCAGTGACTGGGACGATATCAAGAAGTATTGTCGTGATGATCAAACCACTGATATGGACAATGTGAGCGTGAAATCACATTCGATATTCTCGAAACATTCAGGTGGATTTCTCGAAGCATTTCATCTCCACCACCAATCAAATCGATTACGTGAGCGATAACTCTCGTTGCGGAAATCTCACCGCTCAGTGGCTCATTTTGCCCGATAAGTTTGTGTTTCGTAATGCTAGAAAGACAAAAAGACAAAACAAAAAGACAAAACAAAAAGACAAAACAAAAAGACAAAACAAAAAAGCATAAACTTCTCCCGTAATCCTTTTCCCTTTTTAGCATGGATCAATACAATTACTATCAAGATTGCTATACGGGAAGTTCGATAAACGTCGTCAATGCAACTGTTTCATCGTTTACCGAGAAACCAGAACATGCTGGTTTGGTTGTAAAAGAAAACTGCTATAGAACTGCTGTTTTTTCAATTAAAAATCTAGATATAGATCTAGATATGGATCTAGATATAGATCTAGATATAGATCTAGATATAGATCTAGATATGGATCTAGATATGGATCTAGATATGGATCTAGACATGGATCTAGATATAGATCTAGATATAGATCTAGATATAGATCTAGATATAGATCTAGATATGGATCTAGATATAGATCTAGATATGGATCTAGATATAGATCTAGATATAGATCTAGATATAGATCTAGATATAGATCTAGATATAGATCTAGATATAGATCTAGATATAGATCTAGATATAGATCTAGATATGGATCTAGATATGGATCTAGATATGGATCTAGATATAGATCTAAATATAGATCTAGATATAGATCTAGATATAGATCTAGATATAGATCTAGATATAGATCTAGATATAGATCTAGATATGGATCTAGATATAGATCTTAGATAAAGGATCTAGATATAGATCTAGATATAGATCTAGATATAGATCTAGATATAGATCTAGATATAGATCTAGATATAGATCTAGATATGGATCTAGATATAGATCTAGATATGGATCTAGATATAGATCTAGATATAGATCTAGATATAGATCTAGATATAGATCTAGATATAGATCTAGATATAGATCTAGATATAGATCTAGATATTAGATCTAGATATAGATCTAGATATTATGATCTAGATATAGATCTAGATATAGATCTAGATATATTACCGTAGTTAAATTATCGTTCAAGAATCGTTCAAAAATCGTTAAACAATCTTTTTACTCTTCAATAATTTCAAGGTAAAAACTTCAAGCGTGTCTTCGCTGGGCCACGACGCTTTGGGTTAGATCCAAACACAGCGGTGAGACTTATCAAAGCTTTATATTGCAAAAAAAAATCGACTAAGCACTTAATCTATTATATTTAATAGTTAGATCTATAGATTAAAGCTTAAAGATTTCTTTAGAACACATACAACTATGACTCGACGGACAATCAATGGGGTTACATTTGTTGGAATGAAGACGCTCTTTTCAAGTGGGCGAATCGACGAGATGTGCAAAAAGTGAGAATAGAATTATGGAAATGATTCAAATAGCGATAAATAATAACGATAAATCAAATATCTAATAAATTCAGGCTTTGAACATTGATCAAGAATGGCAAAACCGAAAGGACAACGATGGGAAACCATTCCCGTGGACAGATTGCAAGTGAGTGTCTTGAAGCGACAAGCGACAAGCTATTAAAATAAAATTCTTCACTTTTTCTTTAGCAATGCTCTTTATGACAGCTATCATTTAACGTACAACACGACAAATCAATTCTTTGACTATGTGATTAAGAATGTTAAGGTAAAGATTTGTTTACTGTTTACTGTTTGTTTACTGTTTACTGTTCACTGTTTACTGTTTGTTTACTGTTTACTATTTGTTTACTGTTTACTGTTTATTTACTGTTTACTGTTTATTTACTGTTTGTTTACTGTTTGTTTACTGTTTGTTTACTGTTTACTGTTTACTGTTTACTGTTTACTGTTTGTTTACTGTTTACTGTTTACTGTTCACTGTTTACTGTTTGTTTACTGTTTACTATTTGTTTACTGTTTACTATTTGTTTACTGTTTACTGTTTATTTACTGTTTACTGTTTATTTACTGTTTGTTTACTGTTTGTTTACTGTTTACTGTTTACTGTTTGTTTACTGTTTACTGTTTACTGTTTGTTTACTGTTTACTGTTTGTTTACTGTTTACTGTTTGTTTACTGTTTACTATTTGTTTACTGTTTACTATTTGTTTACTGTTTACTGTTTGTTTACCATTTCACTTTGTACAAAAAAAAGTTTAGACACCAAATTTCCGTTTCTTAATCTACAATGGAGATGTTGATACGGTGTGCAATTATTTGGGTGACGCTTGGCACATGAGAGATGTCACAAATCAAAATGCTTTCACAGTTTGTTTTAAATTCTCATTTCCACTCAAAAATAAGATACGACTCAAAGAAACTTTCTGAAAACAAAAATCAGAAATCATGAAAAAACTTCAGTCAACACCCCGTGATCGTTGGTGGTTTCGTGATCAAGTGGCCGGCTTCTATCAGCGCTACACGAAACAACAAATCACGATCGATGTCTTGACTGTTAAGGTTTGAAAAGCAATGTGAAATGAGAGCTGAATGAATGTGAAATCGACTAAAACTCCTCTTCTCGTCTGGGCAGTGAGAAGTACTGACTCTAAGTCAGGCAAAGTTTAGAAAGCTATCGACACTAAGAGACTGCAAGATGGTACTAGTCTATGGTCTAGGTTGGGTACATTATTGTAGAAATTGAAGTAGAGGAAAGTTAAATAGAATAGAAGTTAAATTGTAGAAATCTCTGTGCTTAGAGTTGGCTCTAACTTTTGCAAAAGAATCTTTCAGCTATGTATTTAGGGTGCTGGCCACATGGTGCCCAACGATCGACCCGGACCATCGATGCAAATGATCACGAATTTTATGTTCCCCGACACAAATGGCCTCGTTGACTACTCGTCGAATCAAACGGCCGATCCAACGAGGAAACCCGCTGATTTGTTGACAACTTCTACGGTAAATGAGCTTTGATTTAGAAAGCGGAGCTTAAAGAGCTTAAATTTTGCTATAGGTAGCGAAAGAGTACTTTATGTTGTTCATAGGAGATCGTATGAATAGCTAGGATACTGTAGTTTAGTTAGGATACTGTAGTTTATTCATAGGACACTGTACCCTTTAGCTTTGAGGTACTGCATTCATAGAATACAACCCTAGGTACTGCCCACCGATTCGACGACAACAAATGACGCTTTCGCCCGCTCGCTTTGTCATTGTTATCCCTTTTGGTGGTTTTGTTGTTGTAGAGGTTTTAAAGTTTTAGATTCAAAAATAAATCGTATTTTCTTTCAACTAATACGTTGAACTGAGCCTTGGAATCTAGAATCTGAAAGCCTGGAATCTGGAGATTTGAAACCTGGGATCTAGGACCTGGGACTTGGACCCTGGAAGATGAAATTCTTGAAGCCTAGGATTTAGATCTGAACCCTGTGATCCTGAGGTCTGCACTTTGAGCACTGAACCCTGGGAACTGAATCCTAACTATAAGATCTGAACCCTGGAACAGGCCCATGAATCTAAACCGTGAGTCTTGGGGAAGTACTGACTCTAAGTCAGGATCAAGAGATCAAGATCCAGGATCCAGATCCAGAATCCAGGGATCCAGATCCAGGGATCCAGATCCAGGCAGATCCAAGATCCAGGGATCCAGATCCAGGGATCAAGATCCATGGATCTTGGCATTTCCTTGAATATCTTTACGATTCATGGACCCTGAGACTCTAGGATCTGGAAAGTTCAGTACAGAAAGAAAGAAATACAGATGTACAGATGCATCTAGCATCTAGATGGCTTGAGGTAGGTGTGCAGTTAATATTTTTATATATTAGCATTTGATACAATACTTTATTTCCTTGAATATCTTTACAAAAATGTTTCTTTTCTTCCAACTTATACCCTGCGACGGGTCTTTGGTGGACAAGGACAATAGTTCGCATCTTTTCCTTGAGCTCCATCTGATCCAGGCTTTCCGGGAGGGCCATCGTTGGCTGGCTGAAAGTTTGAAAGTTTAGAAATGGGTAACTAAAGCTAGATCAAGAATGATTACAGTAATTTCCAGTAAAGCTTAATATGCCAATCTTTGCTGCTCACCTTTCCGGGCGATCCAGGTGGTCCCTGAGGTCCCTCGTCTCCGGGTTCTCCATCCTGGCCCGAGTCTCCAGGTTTTCCCGGCTCTCCTTGTGGTCCAGTCCATCCGGGTTCTCCCTGTGGTCCAGGCTCTCCAGGTGATCCCATAGTTCCGTCTCTTCCCGGGTGCCCGTCTTCTCCATCAGTACCTGGTTGTCCAGCCAATCCTTGATCTCCACCCTCTCCAGGCTCTCCAGGTTCTCCATCAGCTCCAGGTTGTCCAGCCTCGCCTTGAGCTCCAGGGAATCCCTTGGGACCAGGCTTTCCATCATCTCCTGGAATAGGGTTTCATATTGTACTGTATTATGTTCTGTGTATCTATGCTACAACTTTGTAGACTTAGAATTAGCTAATAATAAGTAGTCAAGAACAAACCGGGTGGTCCTTGATCGCCGGGTGGGCAAACGATGCATCCGCCGGGAATGTTGTGGGTGACAGCCAACGCGATTCCTGAAGTTCCTTGGCGACCATGATCTCCATCAGGTCCTTGATCTCCGCGTTTACCAGGTGGACCGGGTGGCCCTGGAGGTCCGGCTGGACAACCCTGGAAATGGTTTGATTATTGCTTAGAAGTACAGTACCATTAAACTACTGCAGTCCTACTGTAATTGCCATAGCTTAAGTAGTACAAAAGCAGTACTTATCAGTAGTTCGCTATTAGTACTTAAATACTTAAATATTCTCATTAGGGTGCTAAAGTTTCGTCAGTATGCGTCACCAACTCCAATCTGACAGCTGTGCTGAAGTACTACTATTGCAATACTTTGTGATTGTATAGTACGATCAGTGCTCATTGTCAGTACATTTTTGAGGTTTTGAGAAAATGAGAAAGATGAGAAAGATGAGAAAGACAAAAAAACGCACTCTTGAGTTGGCAGCACAATTGCACTGAGCATGCGAGTTGGATGCTTGTCTCTTGTGGCGGAGAATTGATGCGAAATCGACGTGTTTACTATCACCGTTCTAAAAATAGAAATCTTTATCTAGTTCAGTTCTTATCTAATTATTCTATAAACCCTTTTTTACCTGGTTGACTTGGAAGGAAAGGATGCGGACCCATGTATCCTCGGAGATCGTGCGGAAATCACCAAGACCGTCCATGATCTGGAATTGAAGTCTTGTTGTATTTGTTTTTATTAGAATGAATTTTTCAATATAAAGTTATAGTACTATGGATAGTCTTTTTCTAATATTATATGTTGTCTTTCGAAAAACTTTTTCACAAACTTAGGGAGGCTCAATTTAGATTTACAAATTGAAGCTTACTGTAAGCTAGTTTTCTTACGAATTCTTATTATAGATACAAATTTGCATTGAAAGTAGAAAAGAAAACTTTTACCTCATCATGCATTCGATCGATATCCGAAACGATCGTTTGAATCGCGACCAAAGCAGTCAATGTAGCCGCTAAAGCCATCGAGGCGCCTACCGCCACGCCCACTGACTGGAAATGGCACTTTTTTAAGGTAGTCTTTGAGTTTTTTTTTGAAGTTAGTGTTTGAAGTTAGTGTTACAAGCTAGTGTTACAAGTTTTGACTTTCTATGCTCATAGACATCTGATTGGTATTAAATAAGTTGTGCTCTAAAAAGTGCGATCATCGGACACCTGAAGCTCTTTAGTTTTCTGAAATGAATCGAAATCTTCTCAAAAGCTTTCTTTCTGTTTAGCTGATCTTTTGATCTTTTGATTTTCTAAAAGATGCGCTTACAATTAGCTACTGTAGCGTACCGTACGCCAGGCAGTCTAGCCTATCGCACCATCGTACACCATCGTACTTTAATAGCTATTGTAGCCAACCGTACGCCAGGCAGCCTATCGTACATCATCGTACTTTAGTAGCTACTATAGCCTATCATACCCCAGACAGTCTAGCCTATTGTACACCATCGTACTTTAGTAGCTACTATAGCCTATCATACCCCAGACAGTCTAGCCTATTGTACACCATCGTACTTTAGTAGCTACTATAGCCTATCATACACTAGCAGTTCTTAAGGTCAAGCTTTCTAGATCTAATGCTCGGAACTAATTTAAATTCTAAAATGGGTAGGCTAACAGCTTTTGGTGTGGGCCTAGTACCGCTTAATCTTGATCTAATAGAATAGCTAACATGTGAACAACTATATCATAACTTTATGATACTTAAATTCTAAAGAACTACGAAAGTACTCCTTAAATAATTTAAACTATACTTTCATTACCGTAATCCTCATTTTCGGGGGAATTTCAGAATAAACGAGTACCAACATTAGAACCAACCTTCATTCTTTTCGTTGCGTTCAAAGAAAGACGATTTGAAAAAGGAATAAACACTCGATTTCAGCTCTTTTCCTCGATCTCCAATCACGCTTATATGCTGCCAGTTTTTATGTGCCCTCCAGCAAGAAAGCAAGAAACTGGGGAGGCAAAAAGTGGCCGCGCGTTGTGCGTCTCTCTCCGAAAAGTGGCTTGGATTGTTACAAAAAACTTTGTGACCGAAAAAAATTTGGCCGATCGAAATCGGACTCTTTTAGGAGGGGAGAAACGAGTGAATGAAATACAGAAAGAGAAAGCTGGATTCTGAACTTTTTTCTAACTAGGGCTTAGCTGGGTTTGCGATTTGGCGGAATCGAATCGAAAATTTGCGGCTTCGTCGGGCACATTGACGGTTTCGGTTTTAGCGAAGTGCTTTGAGGGAAAAAGTTAGAGACTTGGGCTGTTGATTCTTTCAAATAAAAAGGTCTATGATGTTTTTTTTAAAACATGGTAGCTTTTACCGTACTCATAATCAGGTTAAAGAGATCAAGTCAGTCCATTGAATGATTGAATTCATAACTAACTTTCTTGAAAGTTGACACGTTGACAACTACCGCGTTTCCATGCTCCTTTTTCATTTGTTTCCTTAACTCCTATCAATCGCGTTTCCAGGGATGATAAAAGAAAGGCTAAAATATCGAAGATACAAAGACACACACAGTACAGCCGCTACTTACACGAGGTCGTTACATAAAACCGTTAGTGCTAATGGATAGCAAAAAAAAAGTTTCCGAGCACATGTCACAAGAAAAAAAATCGTTATCATTTCCCTTTCATTTGATGAAGAAGTTATAATTTTTTTCATGCAATGTATCATAGTAACAGCATCACGAGTCAGTCCATTGAATGATTGATTTCATAACTAACTTTCTTGAAAGTTAGTTATGAAACGTAGTTATAAACAAAGTTAGTTATAAACTTTCTTGAAAGTTAGTTGTGAATTCAATTACATCAAAAGCTTGTAGTTTTACATCAAAAAAAGGTGATGGTAACTTTCCAATTTTTTTCCTTTTTCTGACTTAGTATTTTGCAAGAGTTCAGAAAGGATAATCGACACAAATAACATCTTTTTTTATTTTGCCAAGCCGGCTCGGTTTACGGGTACTCCGCTCGACGGAGTGAGCTTCGGAGTGCGCTCAACGAGCTGAAGATGTTATTGAGGGTTTGTTTAGTTCTGGGATGCTCATTCGGGATTGTTCTTTATGTGTACTTTAAGCTCAAAATGTGTAAACACACCCTTTCTGGTACTTTTGATTCTTCTTTTCTCGCAGTGATGCTTTGATTTTCTAGAGGAAATGAATCTAAAGGAAATGTGTCTTCAGTGCGTTAGAAAGAATGCGTTTACAGCTTTAAGCATGAAGTACACTAGTTAAATTGAAACTAGCCTCTCAATAGCAAGCCTTAATTCCAGAATGCTTGCAATTACATAAAACGGAGATCCGTGAAGACTTCTACATGTATTGGATTCGTTTCTATGACATCATCGACTTAAGTCTCTTGTTCGTTTTCCAAGCGGCGAATGTCATTCTAACGATTGTCATTGTGTTGATGTAGATTTTAAGATTTCGATGAAAGTTGTACTTTTGAAAGTGTGCTTTTGAAAGGGATATCACTAGAAAGTACCGAATTTACAAAAGATTTGGAGTGTACTCAAGCGAGGTAATACATAACCTGTCCAATGATGTTTAACTTGACAGCAAGAGGCCTGAAAAAGTTACCTAGAGTTATAAAGTTATCATATTTTGCTAGTCCAAACGAAAATTTGCAGTTTTTAACTACGTAGTGATACAAATCGCGGCCCAGTCAATTCTATTTTGCACCTAAAAGCCACCAAATTTTTTAATACGATAACTGGCACAATAAAAGCGACAATTTGCGCGAAAATTTCATTTTTTTTGTCGGGATCGGTCGTAACACTCGATTTTTTGAAATTTGTATGGTTTAAAGACGTGTTGTTATCGTTTTCAACGATCTGTCGCTATCTAAATGTTACGTATTTTTGCAGCTATCACCTTAAGATCTTTAAAAGGCATAGAAATCTTGTGGTTTTGTTATTTTTTTGTGAGTTGATGAGTGCCGCTGGAACGCAGAGAAAGAGTCCCGCCGCGAAGCGATTGTGAAAGACGATAATAGATTTAGGCAATGTTTTTGTGAAATCCATTTCAAATTGTCGTTTCTTCAACATTTTTCGATTTGTTTGGTGTATTTCGACTAATGTTTTTCTATTTTCAGGTAAAAATGGATTCGCGCTTTTCGAGCAACTACAAAAACACGGGCAAGGATTCGGAAAGCCTTCGAAAGGGAAGAGCCGACGAGGCCGTCTCGATCCGCAAAGTTCAACGCGACGATTTGTTGACAAAGAGAAGGAATCTTGTGCCAGAGTAAGTTAACTTTGCTGGTGTTATCATTAAAATTAGTCAAATGTCTTGACAAAACTTGGCGCATTTACATTTGTGTCACAACTGTGGAAAGATTCGAACGTGAGCAAGTAGAAAAAAGTCTACGATTCTGACTAATCTTTTAATTTTAGAGATGATGCCACAAGTGCCTCTTCACTCGCTTCTTCTATTACATATGACTCGGCCGTGCTGCAATCAATTATTGAGATGGCGAAAGGCGATGATCCAGAAAAAGTGCTAGCCGCCGTTCAACAGGTTGTGTACATTGTGGTGAACTGAAGATGTATGTGTGTTAGGCTCGGAAGATGCTCTCCGCTGATCGTAATCCACCAATTGACGAACTTCTTCGAAGCGGCCTTCTACCAGTGCTCATCAACTGTCTCAACTCACCGATGGCGAATCTGCAATTTGAAAGTAGGGATTCGAAACGTTTTAGCGTCAAAAGTTGATATTGCTACCTAGATTTTTATTATTGAACTCTAGGGTACCTTGCTCATGAGTTAACCGCAAAAATAAACCCAGGATTTATTGCTTAACATTTAAATAAAATTGTTGTCCATTGGCCTAGTTTACCGATATCAAACCTGCAGTTTGAAGGTACGCAAGGCATTAAGGGGGAGGGGCCCTGAGGCACGAGCCTGCATAAATTGCTTAGTCTTAAAGTAAAAACTTGCTCTTTATCGTTGAACATTTTAATAAAAATCGGATTGAGTGAGTTCTAGGGGTAAAATCTAGGATATTTTGTTTGAAATCTCAATAAAATTCTTCGATTAGGCTGCTGGGCTTTAACCAATATTGCGTCTGGCACTTCGGAGCAAACGCGAGCTGTCGTGGAATCTGGTGCCGTGCCCGTCTTCTTGGAACTACTTTCTTCACCACATATGAACGTCTGCGAGCAAGCTGTATGGGCTCTTGGAAATATCATTGGTGAGTGTTTGATGAAAGATTTTTTAGTTGGTTTAGACTTCAGTTGGGTACTGTTCCGGTTAGATTTGGATTCTGGTCAGCCAAATACCTCTATGCTTTTTGCTGGGGTTAGGCTATGGCTCTGGATGCGCTAGAGTACATAATCAGGCACTGACTAGTCGCAGCGCTAGAGTGAGCACCTCTAACTGGAGCAGTACCAAAGTTTTAAAATATTTAAGTTTAATATAATGGTAGTTTGCCTTTGAGCCAATATTCCCAGTTTATGTGATGTGATGACTTGATTAATTTATTTCTGTTTAGGAGACGGACCGCACTATCGCGACATGTGCTTGACACTTGGTATCCTCGGGCCGCTCTTGAAGTTCATCCGGCCAGAGATTCCGATCGGCTTTCTCCGTAACGTCACCTGGGTGCTGGTCAACTTGTGCCGAAACAAAGAGCCGTCGCCAAGCATAGAAGCAATTCAAGCAATCCTCCCGGCCCTCGCACTCCTCATTCATCATCAAGACACGAACATTCTCGTCGATACGGTGTGGGCAATCAGCTATCTAACCGATGGAGGAAACGCACAAATTCAAATGGTCATCGACTCCAATATCGTATGCGATTTTTACTTTGGTTGATCATTTGTTATTTTTAGGTTCCACATTTGGTGCCACTCTTGGGTCACGAAGATGTCAAAGTGCAAACTGCAGCTTTACGAGGTATGCAGTTAGGTTTTTCTTCAACATCACCATTTTCTTTTAGCTGTTGGAAACATCGTGACGGGGACCGATTTACAAACACAACTCGTTTTGGACAACCATGCCCTTCGTCAAATGCCCCGATTACTCACACATGAAAAAGAAAAGATCAAAAAGGTTGGCTGTTGTTCTTGTGTAATTCTATAATTCGTATTCGTATAGTCTTGTCTTTTATGTTTGTTTGTTTTATGCCATATGATGCGCTTTGCTTGTTGATAATTTGCTAGCTTTATAATCTAACGTATAAACAGTTGTCTTTGTTTTTCTTCAAATAATTCTTTGCTAACTCTGAAAATAATGAACGAACAAGATCAAACTACTGCCACCGGTTTCGTATTGCTAGTTTTATGTTATTTGAATGGATTTCAACTATAGCCTACTAAAGTGTATGGAACAAGACTTATTTGACGCAATACGATGAAACATTTAACTTGTAGCAGTAGTTTTTTTGCTCGTTCATTTGGAGTTAGGCAAATAATTGTTCGAAGTTGAACAAAAATGTTAGGTATAAACTAGCCAAGGGCATCGTATGATATGAAACAAGCAAGCAATAGTATAGGTAAAGCTCCTAGTAATGTAGAGAAATTTAGGAAGCTAGTTGGTTCTTATCGAATATCACCGCCGGAAACGTGAATCAGGTGCAAGAAGTGTTTGACGCTGGTCTGATCCCGATGGTGATTGCTCTCATGGAACATGGGGAGTATAGTACGAAGAAAGAAGGTAATTTTAAAAGTTTTTAAGTAATCTCGGTCTAACGGCATCAACAACAACATGCACCTAGGCAACAACAATAAGTATGTTAAAAAACTAGACACGAGCAACAGTTTAACAATGCAATGACTTGCTCCGATAACAGTGCATTGCATTGCAAGTTTAAGTTCAACTGCATCTTATTCCCGTATATCACCGTTGGTGCTCGTGGAGGACTTGAAAGTCAACCGCTGCGTGTAATAAATAGCGCCTATCAAGGTTGCCACTAGAACCATGGACTCAAACCACCTTAATTATTGTGTTAAGTTAGAATCTAAGGTTTATTGTTTGTTAACATTATTTATTTAAATGCCAACAGTTATTGTTAACATTTAATTAAAATTTTTATCCATTGTCCTAGTTTCCCGCTATCAAACCTGCAGTTTGAAGGTACGCAACGTTTCTATATATCAAGAGGACAGGGGCTTGTCCCCCCGTTAGATGCGGGCCTGGATATCTTGTTTAAAATTTCGATAAAATTCTTCGATAGGGTGGTAGGTCTTAACTAATTTGCTTCTGAGAATTCGAGGCAAGCGCTAGCTGTTCTGGAAGCTGGTGCTGTGCCTGTCTTCTTTGTACTACTTTCATCACCAGATATGAACATCTGCGAGCAAGCTTTACTAAACTGTTATTTGGGTCTTCGCTGCTACCTAGGTGTATGTTGTTACTGAGTTATGTAGGGCGAAAATTTATGGTTTATTGTTTAAAACCTCAATAAAATTTGGTTTAGGAGCATGGGCGATCAGCAATATTACGATCTCCGGGAGACCAGAGCAGGTGTTGAAAATGGTAGTGTAATTTCCTTTGAACATCCGAGTAATTATCTAACTTTAGGTCGAGTTTGGAGTCATTGCACCTTGCTGTGGCTTGTTGAGCCCACAAACGGAGGTTCAAATGCTAAATGTAAATGGAGAAAGTCTGTTTCCATACATTTCCATGTTTAGGTGATTCTTGACGGGCTGACGAACATCTTGAAAGTGTGTCAAACGGCCGGCCCCGAGCTATTGACCCTGGCAACAACCCAAATAGAAGAGTGTGGTGGACTGGACAAGATCGAAGTGTTGCAAACGCACGAGAACGAGATGGTCTACAAATTGGCATTTGGTATCATCAACGAATATTTCTCGTAAGTTTTTTTGGTTCTATATTTGTCATTTTAATTTTTACCAACAAACATCAAAGTCTCTTTTAGGGAAGATGAAGAGGTTCCAATCGAGTCTTCATCAAACGACCCATTCGGTGGCACCGCACCTGCAGATGGCTGGAAATTCGCCTAGATGCCCAAAGCAACTTCTTAAAATCTCTTTTTAAAATGTGTGTTTTTATGTCTGTGTGTTCGCTATGGGTCTGCCCTACTTTGATTTTTCTGTCTTCGCTGCGGCTTCCAAATTATTTGCTTTCACTCATATCCCTTCATTATTTTTTGTGAATATTGCGCGCGTGCGACTGGGTTGTTCTAAATTTGCTCTCCCCCCACTTTTGTATTGCGCGTAAATTTGTTGCTCAGTCGCTTAACTGTTGGTAACTTTTAAAATTGAATGTAATTTTCTTGCACTAGCCGTTCAGCCTTATTTATGTTATTCACTCTTCTAGACCCCCGTCTATCCTTATTTGTTTAAAAATTTTTGATCGTAAAGAGATCAGCAATATAAAGTTTATTTTAAATATGTTGTGCCAGATGTGGACTTGTTCTGCTGATTTCTTTGCGAATTTTTATTCGTTATGGTTCTGCCCATCTAATCTCGTCTTTTACCGGTCTATTCAGTGCGTGTGTGTCTTCTAACAGTGAGTCGTTTTTCGACTACCTTTATGTGTTTACTTGTTCGCAAAAAGAGTTGCCTGCCGGTTTGTGTCGCTGTCATCGTGACTTCTATCAGTTGTCATTGCTATTTACTCTCTTTAAAGAATCTTGTGATAACCTTTTTTGAACTTTGTCGTTCTATCTTTCCAAGTTTTTGTTTTCATTTCCATTCATAGACGTGTTTATATGGTCACTCGGAAAGTGGCCAAGTTATTTTTTACAAATAAATTGTTTAAATAAATCGTGGATTGAAAGAATATTGCGATATCACATTGTTATGGGGGTGGCTACCTTGCGCCAATTTTTTTTCTCGCAACTTTCCTAAGTCGGCCAATCTTTATGATTTTGTTGCACTTGTTGAGATCTACAAAATCATAAAGATTGGCCCATTTGGAAGAAAGTTATGGCGAGTTACGCAAAAATTTGGCCCAAAGTGGCCACCCCCCATTGTTATACCTACTTTGTACAAGTTTTATTGGAGAATTGCAATTGTGAGAACAAAGCACACAAAAAGATAAAGCAAGTTTTTGATAAACTATTTGTTCTAAGTTTTATTGTGCCCAAAACTTTAAATGTTATTTATTCCCGATGACCGGGCACGAGTTCGAGCCGTCTCCAAAGGGCTTCGATTTTGCTGAGATGAACTTAATACATTCTGGAAATGAAGGTAAGTAATAATCTCGTCTCATGACTAAGAATATTTTGCCTTTAGCTATAACGTTGGAGCTAGTCAACAGGGCTGTCTTGATGGGGTACGACACGGTGGTGATCAACAGAGATATCGGCGACCCGTACGCTTCGATTGAGGTATCATTTTTAGCTTTGCGAGCAAACTTGTCAAAAAAATAGTAGAAATAGTAAGATACGTTGTAACAGAACTTTGTATGGTATCCACTTTTAAAGTTTGACTCATGTCAATGCCATTTTCTGAAATCTGATCAACAAAATGAGACAAATATCAAACTTTATTGGGGACCAGAGAGTTCATTGTGATTTTTGTGGTTTTTTTTGCAGAGGACCGTTAATTTGTTGTGTTTTTCGACCAAAAAGAAACAGTTTACAAAAGATTTTATTCACGAAAAAAAGTGGCTAGTGATTTAGTGATTATACTCGATGAGGAGATCCTTTCGACGGAGGATTTTGGGGCTTTGGAACCACTCGCGGCGGAATTGCTTGCTGGCACCGTCGGGAGCGTTGGTCCATTCGATGGTGATGCGGTCGTTGTTGGTGTCCTCATAGTTCACGTCGAAGGCATTGCATGAAACCGCGACCTAAAGAAGAAAATTTAGTCTGAAAAAGGAATGAACAGAGACAAAAATAAAGGAAAACTTACTAAGATGGCTTCCTTCGGGTCCAAGACACCGCATGGTGGGTCGACTTCGAGACGCTCCATATCGGTTGCCGTGTGGGCCCATCCAATGCGACGATTGCTTGAGTTGATCACCTAAATGAAACAAAATAAAAGTGAAAATGAAATTGTTTAAATAAGAACGAGCCCGAAACACTCAAAAAGTAAAGCGAGGAAAATAATACCTTGATGTTGTGCTTGAACTCGTAGGGGCCATTGAAGACGATCTTGGCGTTGGGTTGAGTGGTGATGTCGCCGGGTGGGATCGATTGGACCATCTTGTCGGTTGAAGTGGAGAGATACCGCAATTGAGGAGAAGCTCCTTATATTTGACGGTTGAACGCAAATTTTTATGTCTTCCGATGTAAATGTGGAGATTTCAGAAAATATGCAAATTTCTAAGACCTTCACTGCCTTGCAAACCCTGATGCTCCACCTCTTTAGAATTGTTATTTCGATCGTGTAGATGTATTTTATTATCAAATTTAGTCAAGCGAAGCTACATCAGCCGATGAAACGCAAGAACCACCAGTGAAGAGGCAGAAAAAAACACTCAAAAAGCGTGAGTTGTTATTGAACAGAACTATTTATCTTCGTTTTAGCTGAACCAATTCCCGATCCATACATTGTTGATGTGAAAAAGGTCGATGTGACAGTATTGGAAAGCAATGGGAAACGATTACGGCAATTTAGGTTTGTTTGTTTTTTGTTTGGTGATATTGCAACTTTATATTTTTAGTCGGATCACTGTCAGCTTAAATGAGCAGAATGCATTACACAACTTCTTCAACAATTCTCAGCTGAAAAAGGTAAACTTTTGACTCTTTTCAATTACAGAATGACTGGAAAACAAAATTACTTTAAAACCTAAACTATTGAGTTCATCTATTTGGCAGAAGTCAATCTTTGTAAATCAGTGTTTCATAGAGTATTATAATTTTTACTTTAGTATGACCTGATTGCGGTACGCCCTGGTTCTGATGCGATCCTTAACACATTACAAAGAAAAACGGACTTCTTTGACATTGTTACCTACGAGCAGTCATCGAAGGTACCTAAATGTTTATGTCTCGCATATTTTTTACTTTAGACTGGTTGGCTTATGATGTCTAAGAAAATTGAAGCAATCCGAGATGAGGGTGTTGTCTTTGAGGTGAAATTAATCTTTTATCGTTGACGTTTGCCTTAGATAAGTTATGCATCTGCACTCGGGGACAGTTATGCTAGGAGAATGGTAAATTTTATTGAAATACACGTATTAAATTATTATTCAGATGCTCTCAAATGGTCGATTTCTCATGCAAGCTTTGAGAAGAAGAGGAATCATCTTTTCATCTGGGGCCAGAGATGTGAGGTCTTGAAGAAGTATGCAAGAAGATTAATTCTAGGTTATTGATCTTCGAGCACCTTATGACGCCTTGAACATGCTTTGTTTGATAGGAGTTGATTCAAAATTTGCTCGTCCATATCTTTCGGGTTAGTTTTATCTTTGAAAACTCAAGATCTTTTGCAACCCTGTGTCCTACCTGCAAAAAGTCGGAATTAAATTATTTAGCCGATAAAGCCAAATATCTTTAGTCTAGCTTTTTGGATAATTTGACACGTTTCGTTTTTCGGATGAACACTTTTATTTCGACTAGTTTTTCTGATTTACTCGATCTTAAAACTGTAGTATGACTATATTCACCCATAAATTTTCTCTATTCAGGTAAGAAGGTAACACTTGTACTTAAAAACGGTTGGTTGGAGAAGTACTCGATTTAATAGAGTATTGAATCATAATTCTCTTATTTAGACTACCCAAAATCTGTTCTACTACGAGGCGAGTCGAAACGATCACTCCGTGGATGTATTGCCGTGCACTCAGTGAATGCCGTTCCCAGCAGCAATTTGGTAAGTTGTATGCGCTGTGTACGCTCTTCCAATTTCAAAACTTGTCTCATCAACTTACGCCCTTAATCACAAGGCTTGATCTTGCTCAAAAATGAAATTTCAAACGATATAAAAGTTACATTATGTAAAATTAAAATTTGTTTAGGCCAGATCCAACTCAAATTTTTAGTTCTAATTTCAATTAAATTAATTAAATTTTTATTTTTCAGATTGAAGCGGCAGCATTGAGTCGGCTACTGAAGGTGCCCGAGTTTCGTCTACAGGTTGAACGCGTGCCCGCCACAAAGAAGGCTCAATCAAAGGAAGAAACGGAAACGAAATGTTAGAGTTTTTTCTTGTTCTTTCATATTTGTTTATCGGTATTTTGATTGTTGACATAAAGCTTTAATGATTGAGCTTTAATGAAGCTAATAACTGTTGAATTCTTGACAACAATTTGAAAGTTAACCTTTTAAGGTTGTTCCACCTTGAACTAGATATGGGCAACGAGTCACTTTTTGCATTTTAACAAACTATTTGTTTTCGAAGCCTTGATCTGAAAGGATGGTTCTTGTGACTTTTATCCACGCAAATTCACATATCGGAAATGTGAACTGGATTTTGCAAGTTCATGTGTTTCAAGATCAAGAAGATCAAAATTGGCTCAAGACACGAAGCAAGAGATGGCATCAATCGAAACGCTTTGAGGGGGATAAAACTTTTGAAACAAGTTTATATATTTTTTGATAGAATGTTATAAAATCAACAATCCCAATAACACAAGCAAGAAGCTTGGGCTAAAGGCGGTAAAGGGCTTGCCTAGGCCTGGTGCGCAATTGAAATAAGCATTTATTTAGATTCACCACGAGAACATCATCGCTAATAAAAGCAGTATTTCGCTGCTTTTCGACTTCATCGAGACGGATCTCGAGCATTTGAGTCGTAGTCGGACTCGACCCAAAATCCGGTGTCTTGGACCCAAAGCTTACCAAGGAATCCGTCTTGGTAAGCTTTTAGTGGTGTCATTTTTCAAAATCTGATTTGAACTCATTTGAAAATGATAGTGAGCTTTGCCTTGGGGTAAAATGTTTTCATTTCAAATGATTTCCTTCCTTTCTAAAAAATGTCTAGCTATCGAAAGTTGACAGATTTTAGAAAACGGATTACCCTCTATGCTGAAAGTTTTCGAATTTGTTCTTTTTTGTCTCATGAGTGATCTCTGATGAAATGGCGATTCGTGGGAATCTCTTCTTGCTCTTTCCATCCTTTTTTTCATCCATTGAATATCTCAATTTCTCTTTTCTTTCGCTTTTCCCTTCTCCATTTCACCCAATTCCCATATCGCATCTCGTTTTCTTTTACGTAAATACATTTTCTTTTCTTTCTTTTCTTTCTTTTTCTTTCCTTTTCTTCCCCTTTCTTCCTCTTTCTTCCTTTTTCTTTCTTTTTCTTTCTTTTTCTTCCTCTTTCCACCGATGCCCAATTTCGAGAATTCGTACTTTTTTTTAAGAAATCCTCTTGATTTTGTTTATAATTGTGGGACATTTGATGCATGCCACCTTTCCCATTCACAATCTAACTTTAAGCTCAAATTTTTTTGCGATTGGGTTGCTCAATGTAAATACTTTTTCCACCAATCGACGGAGAAAGATTTGGCGCATCTAATAATCAACAGAGAAAGATTAATCGACAGAGAAAGATTTGGTGCATCTAATCAAGAGTATTTAAATTCAACACCCCAACACTAGGATCGTTGAGCTTAAATTTGGATTTCCAATGCCGGGGCAGGGCGCTTATCAAATGTCCGATAACCTCAGTATATCATTGAAATGCTAACAATTTTTGATTTTTTTGATTTAAGGATCAATTTAAATTTCTGTGCAACTTGTGAAAGTCTTGGAAAAGTAAAAACAGTTGTGTAGGTTGTAGGAAAATTAGAAAGTTTCTAAAATTTTCCTTTAACACAACTGCTGAGCCTAATCTCAACTATTAGGTTGAGGAAAAAGTGATGTCGGTTTTAAATTCCCGTTGTTGGCAATGTTTCATCAAAAGAACGACAACAAAAGTTCTATTTTTGCATGATAATGCAAAACCTCACACGTACAAAAATCACTCGCCAAAAAAATCGACGAGCTTGTTTGGAAACTTTTGCCGCACGCATCTTATAGCCCGAACTTTGCCTCATCGGATTACCTCATCAGATTATTTTTTCATTTCGGTCGTTGAAGAGTTCTCTTATGGGAGAAAAGGTCGAGAATCATGCACAGATCAAAAAAAAAGCAGTTCACACTTATTTTGGCTCAAAAACTCTCCATTTTTTCTTGAGGATAGGATCAGGGAATTACGACGAAGATGAGGAACAAGTCATCATCAATAATGAGAGAATATCTCATTGATTGATGTGCATTTGTTTATGCTTTTAGCAATAAACATTTTTGTCACAAAAACCGACATTACTTTTTTGCTCAACTTTTTTGCTCAACAATTTTTGTGACAAAAATCGACATTACTTTTCTGCTCAACCTAGTACATTTCCCGGCTGCCTATCAATAAACCATTCTTTTCTCTATTCTTTACATTTCAATCATTTCAAAAACTTTAGCAAGTTTCTGTTTATTAGAGTGACGATAAAACTGTCAATTTTATATATATAGATACTTTATTTAGGCCTGAAATAAAGTACGCTAGATTTAAGATGAATACACACATGAATTCATAATACATAACACGAAAAATGGCCGATAAAAAAGCAAAACGATATAATGTATGGAAGATATGTGTCGTAGCCGTTTACGAAATTCAGCCGCTAACGAATGATTCGTTAACGGCTAGCGAAAAATTTCATTAGTTAACAGCTAGCTGCTAACGAATGATTCGTTAGCGGCTGAATTTCGTAAACGGCTACGACATATGGATAGCAACAGATAACGTCAAAAGACTCCACTTAGAGCTTCAAGCTCAAGATCATCTACAGATCATTTAAAGGTTTCGAGACTATTGAACTCCCACAAAATTCTGGGAAATCGATTCCAAATTCTGGCAGTTCAAATTGGAAAAGAGTTTTACACAAAGCTATTGGAGGTGACGGGAATTAATTTCTAAACTTTTAACTTTTCTGACACCTCTTGCAAGAAACTTTCTTATTCAAAAGGATCGATAGGCCACGCTTTCGCGGTCTGTATTCGTACTGAAAATCAAGATCAAGTTGGCTTTTGCCCTTTTACTCTACGAGAGGTTTCTGTCCTCTCTGAGCCAGCCTTAGGACACCTGCGTTACGATTTGACAGATGTACCGCCCCAGCCAAACTCCCCGCCTGAAGCTGTCTTCGGCGCGAGTCGCGCAGTCACCAAGTGACCACACTTAATACTAGAAGGAAGAGTAAACTCAAGCTTCTAAACGAAAGAACCTCTCCTTGAAATAACCGTGGGATTAACTTTGAATAAATCTCGAAAAAGAGGAATAGCTCTTAGCTAGATCTTAGCTAGGAATAGCTAGATCTATAAAAAGTATCTTTACAATTTTGAAATATTTACCCAAAAAATTTCTCAGAAACACATCAATTTTCCCTATTTTAATTCAAACTTGATCTTTGTGTTGCTCGAAATTCCTCGAAATGTTCCAACTCTTCAACTCTTTCAAAGAGTCAGCTGTGCTTTGTTGGAATGAGTTGAGTTTATGTGACACAAATCCCCTTCAAAGGTGAAAAGAAAGAGAAAAAGAAAAAGAGGGAAATCCGCTGAGAAAAGCTTTCGAAAAGTGGGTGGAGACGGGAAAAAGAATTCTCTGAAAATTCGTTTCCCTCAAAAAAAAAACCTCAGAAATTTTGCTGATATCTTATCGATTTGAAATTTTTGAAACTCTATAAATAATAAATAAAATTAGGCTGTTTAGAAAAGTCTTTTTGTTTTCTTTTTTCGTACTTTTGTAAAAATAACAAAAATTTTACTTCTTTTATTAGAAAAGACAATTTATTTTTCTGCAAAATAACATTAAAAAGGATTTAAAATGTCTGGTGTTTGGGTTTTTTTTGGGGAGCATAAAGTTAACTTCTTTTGGAGTAGGAGATGCGAACTACCCGGTGGTCTAATGGTTAGCACAGTTGCCTGGTAGGCGAGAGGTCGCGGGTTGGAGTCCTGGCAGCGCCCGAAATTTTTTGATCTGTTCCACAAAGTCTGGTAGTCAAAAAGGGTGACGACATCGATGATGCTAAAAGCTATTGGCTAAAAGCTTTTAGCTCAGGCTTAGGCTTTAGCTAAAAGCTTTCAGCTCAGGCTTAGGCTTTAGCTAAAAGCTTTCAGCTCAGGCTTAGGCTTTAGCTAAAAGCTAAAAGCTATTCAGCTAAAAGCTATTTAGCTAAAAGCTATTCAGCTAAAAGCTAAAAGCTATTCAGCTAAAAGCTAAAAGCTATTCAGCTAAAAGCTAAAAGCTATTCAGCTAAAGAAATCTTTCTTTGTGTCTATAGATAAAAGGTAGAGCATAAAAAGTTCAGTGTTTCGCGTAATTTTCAGAGAAATTCTTTAGCCAATTTCTTCGTAAAGGTTTTTTTAGGGAAAACCCATGTTTACACTCTTGAATTTGCTTGAAAGTGAACGAGAATTCACTGAAAAAAGTTGAGAAATCGAACACTTTTTATTTAGAGGCAATTCTAGGTGAATTTTGGTGAATTTTGGTGAATTTCTTTTCTAATATTCGAAAACTTTTTCACTTTGTCGAATTGGAAAGTCGAAAAGCTTTTTATTTTAAACTTAATGAATCTTTTTAGCTTTTTATCTTAATCTAAAAGTAAAACTTTCCCCATTTAAACCCCCAAAAAACTTTTAAATGTTTCAAAATTCGAAAAATTCTCGTTTTCTTTGTCTTTTTTACTGAAATTGTACGAGTTTTTTATTTTTTTTGGGAAAGGCGATAATTTGCCTCCCCTTTTCTTTTCCTTTCATTTCCCTTTTCCTTTCATTTCCCTTTCTCTTTCCTTTCCTTTTCCTTTTTCCCGATTCTTTCATGTGTTATAATTGCCGGGAGTGGTGAGAAGTGATCTCTGAAATAGAGGTATTGATTCATTTTAAAGTAAAAGAAAGCTAGGTGTACTTTGTAGAAATCTACAAATCTGCAAATCTACACTTTCACTTGATTCTTCATTTTCTTGGGGAAACGAATCGTTCTTCTCCTTGATCTTGATGATGACATGAATGCCGTTAAGCTTAATGAAATGAATGCCATTAAGCTTAATGAAATGAATGCCGTTAAGCTTAATGAAATGAATGCCATTAAGCTTAATGAAATGAATGCCGTTAAGCTTAATGAAATGAATGTCGTTAAGCTTAATGAAATGAATGCCATTAAGCTTTTCCAATTTGATAGAAATTAGACTTGGCTATCAAAATTTGCGGGATGATCGTGCTAAAGCAGCTAGAATTAAGCGCTCAAATCTTTAATAGTCTTTTAAAAACCTTTTAATCTTTTAAACTCCTTTTAAATCTTTTAAAAACCTTTTCTCAGCCTATCTTTTGATATTAAATTTGTATAATAAAATGTAAAAATGGCATAAATGACTTTCAAAATCATTTTCAACATTTCAGCAAATTATGGAGAGTTTAGCCAGCTCTAGTAGAACGCATAGCTAGCCGGGGAAAAGCATTTTACACTAGAACCTAATGGGATTCCACCTGGGAATGGAGCTGGGTGAAAAGTTTGAGTGTAACTCAAACTAGAGTTTGAGTTTGAGTGTAACTGAGTGTAACTCAAACTATAAGCCACTATAAACACTACAAATATTCTACCCAAATGCCCGAAAAAGTGATCTCTGTGTTTCCAAGTGTTTCCCTCCATTCATCCACATCTCTTTTCTCTTTTCTCTTGAATGTCCACTCAATCCAATCAAATATGTGTGTGTGTTTCTCCCGATTCAATTCAATGCCCAACTTTCCTCTCTTTCTCTTTCTTTTTCTTTTTCTCTTTCTCCTTCTCTTTCTCTTTCTCTTTCTCTTTCTCCTTCTCTTTCTCCTTCTCTTTCTCTTTCTCTTTCTCTTTCTCTTTCTCTTTCTCTTTCAATCTTTTTCCTTTTACAACTCATTTACTTTTCTTTTTCTTGAAATTCGTCTGACTTTTCTTTTTCTTTTATTTTATCATTTCTCAAAAAAAAAAGCTTAGAATTCTATATTTCTTAGTGTTTTTAAGTCAAAAAACTTTGCGTTTTACCAAAGCGTTTTTCTTTTCAAAAAGATTTTCATAAGATTTCCTTTGCAGATTTCCTTTTCTATCCTTTGCATCCAGCTAAATCATTTGAAAAGTTTCGTTCAAAATCTTCAAAATCTTAAACTTCAAAACTTCAAAATTCGTTCAAAATCTTAAACTTTCCTAAAAAATCTGTGATCTGTGTGATCAGAAAAATTCATGTAAAAATAAAAGAAATCTGTAATTTATGAGTTTAAAAGTTTTGAAGTTTAATTCTTTCTCATTTCTCTTTCCACTATTTTGTCTATAAAAGCATCTTTGATTTTCCTAAAAAACTGAAAAGACGATTTAAAGAAAGTTCAGAAAAAAAGGTATAGCTACATTTTCGGAATTCAATTTTTTTTACTATTTTTGAAAATACAACTTTAAATACCGTATTCTTTCTAATAGTAGTGCACCCAGCCGAGCCGAGTTAATCACTATTTTACAGTTTCTAAGCTTTCCCAGAAGCTCAACACTCAAATCCCCCACTAGATCTCATCGTCAGCTACATTTTCCGATCGCAAATCGATAGGTTCTGATAAGTGGTTCTTGAGATTTCGAGTAATTTAGACGACGATCGGAATGCACTACTATTAGAGAGAATCCGGTAGTTACTAAATCAACTCACAAGGAATACCGTTGTCTCTCTAGTAGTAGTGCACCCAGCCTCGTCGAGTTGGTCACTATTTTACAGTTTCTAAGCTTTCCCAGAAGCTCAACACTCAAATCCCCCACTAGATCTCATCGTCAGCTACATTTTCCGATCGCACATCGATAGGTTCTCATAAGCGGTTCTCGAGATTTCAAGGAATTTAGGGAAAGCTTACGGCGCACTACTATTAGAGAGGATAAGGTATTTTCTATTTTTATTCTTTACACTTTTGAAATTTGACAAAATTTGACAAACCTTTAGTTTAGAAATGCGAAAGGCAAAAAAATCGGTTCCAAAGCGGGGAGTCGTCAAAAAGAAGAAAATCTCAAAGGAAAACGACAAAAAGGAAATAAAGTCTCAAAAATCGACGAAAAGAGGTAGAAATTGAAAGATTTAAAAATAATTAATTCTTCAGAATCTTCAGAATCTTCAGAATCTTCACAAGTTTTTGGAAAACGTCAATCACCAATCGACATCGTTTCGAAGAATGTCAAAATTGATGCAAAGTTACGAAAAGTGAGTTGAACAAGAAGTTTTAAAAGTTTTGACACTAGATTTACATACCGTAAATACTGTAATTGGACCCCACCGCTCTCGTACAGTCTCGTAGTCGCAAAAGTTACCAAAGTTTTTTAGTATTTCATGTTTTTCAAAGCTTTCAAAAAATGCCTACTTTCAAAGCACCCGTACTTTCAAAAAATGCGTCTTTGGTCTCAAAAAATAGCTGAAATTCAGGGCTATTTTTTGATAATTGTATTGCTATTGTAGCATAAACCAGTGTCTAGAAAAACTCGTTCAAAGCTCGACTACGCAACACTCCGCACCGTCATTATGGGGGTGCGGTACTATTACAGTATTTACGGTAGATATTTCTTAAAATTTACAACATAATCGCTTTGTCATTGATCTAGTCGAAACTTTCAAAATCCTGCGTTGCAAACAGATTAGCTTTTGATTTGATTTGGATTTGATTAGAAACAGATTAGATTTTGTTGGCTTTTTTAAAATTTAACCCGAGATCAGAGTTTGGAAGTGATTCATTCCTTTTGCAGCTCCCTTTTGCAGCTTCCCTTTGCAGCTTCCTTTTGCAGCTCCCCTTTGCAGCTTCCCTTTGCAGATTCCTTTTACAGCTTCCCTTTGCAGCTTCCCTTTACAGCTTTCTTTTACAGCTTCATTTTACAGATTCCTTTTACAAATTCCTTTTACAGCTTCCCTTTGCAGCTTCCCTTTACAGCTTTCTTTTACAGCTTCATTTTACAGATTCCTTTTGCAGCTTCCTTTTACAGCTTCCTTTTACAGCTTCCTTTTACAGATTCCTTTTACAAATTCCCTTTGCAGCTTCCTTTTACAGATTCCTTTTACAGATTCCTTTTACAGATTCCTTTTGCAGCTTCCTTTTACAGCTTCCTTTTACAGCTTCCTTTTACAGATTCCTTTTACAGATTCCCTTTGCGCTTAGCGCTTCTTTATCAAAAGCATTTCCCGTTAGAGCCGCTACGTTATAGAACTTGCTTCCAATTACATACAAGTCACTTTTCAAGAAACAAAAGGCTTAGATCTAACGACTCTCTCTCGTAGGTAATCTAATTATTTGCATTTTCACTCTATCTTATATCTTCGTACCTTTCTTCTGTCTCTACATTTATGACCTGCTGTGCATTTCTCTAAGATTTATTGGGTTTCATTTTATCATCTGAATAAAGTATCATTATTATCATTATTATTATTATTATTATTATTATTATTATTATTATTATATATTAGTCTTTTTTTCATATGTTTTTCGAGTTTTCCTTAACTATTAACATATCAGAAATATCAGAAAACAGTAAGAGTAACAGAAAGAAAAATTCATTTACTCAGTACAATAAATTAGTCAACAAGAATTTAACTTAACTTAAATTTAACTGCTTTCAATAGGCGATAAAAGAATCCAGCATTTCAGCAATGCTCTTCATTTCTAAAATCCCTCAATTCTTTTCTCTTCATTTCTAAAATCCCTCAATTCAAATTCAACCAATCTTATTCATATTTCAGAATGGTGGTCTTCGAATCGATGCCAAAAATTGCCACTTCAACCTTTCAATTACTGAATGTGGATGGAGAGCCGATGTTGATGAGGGGACGAGTGTGGGTCGGGTTTTACGGATTGAACAATCTATCAAACAAAATGCTAAACAGCAACTACTACTACTACTACTAAACTACTAAACTGGATCTAAAAGCTAGATTACCAACTACTACTACTAAACTGATTAAATGCATTTCTCTAAGCCTTTTAAAGATCACTTGAAAAGTGTTTACTGTCGCAATACTAATGTGTAAGCTCAATCTTTGCATTTTAGCTCTCTTAGCTCCACATCTCATCGGGGATTTCTCGCTGGAACAATTCCACGCACATTGGTCATCCGATTCGAAATGCGGCAGTGAGCACACGGTTGATGGGAAAAGTTTTGCCGCTGAGGTGAGAAAATCAGAAATTTCTTCGGGATACAACCTTGACATCTACTTGACAGCCTTGCCTTGACAAAGCTCTTTGAAGCCTTTTCTAAAGCCTTGACAAAGCTCTTTGAAAAGCTGATTACGGTAGCTAGCCACCGTAGCCATCAAAAGCTAGATTACCATAGCTGGATTAGTAGCCAGATTCTCTTGAGCACATCTTAAACAATCAAAAAGACAATCAAATCGTGATGGAGCAATCAAACAAAGCAATTAAACAAAACAATGAAACAAAGCAATGAAACAAAGCAATCAAAGACAAAGCAATCAAAGGCAAAGCAATGAAACTCCCCCAAATCCCACTTAATCCATCATACCCTCAATCTACAGCTTCATTTCGTTTTCTGGGCCACCAAGTACGAAAGCTTTGCAGAAGCTGCTCAACAAAGTGACGGTCTAGCGGTTGTCGGCGTTTTTATCGAGGTAAGAATTACCAAAAGCTTACTTAAACTCTTACTTAATCTTACTTAGAGTCTCAATTTTTAGGAATCAAATAAATCTATCCCAAAACTTTTTGCCAACTCTATCCAGGAAGCTAGAGAAGCCGGAAAACCCATTGCTTTCAGTCTCGATTTGGGAAAACTTTTACCAAGTGAGTGAAAGTTGTAAACGCATAGATGCTGGCATACTCTGAAAGATCAAAGATCGTTCAGGTAGATCAACGTTCTGCACATATCCCGGCTCTTTGACAACTTGTCCTTACTCTGAAAGTGTCACATGGAATTTGTTCAAAGAAGCGATTAGGATTAGTAAACAAGAGGTGAAATTACTCTCGTCAGATGGATTACTGTTAGGCAACTCATTTTGGAATTGATTCTGGATTCTGATAGATCTGGTAGAATAGATTCTGATAGATCTGGTAGATTCATAGATTCTGATAGATCTGATAGATTCATAGATTCTAGTAGATCTGGTAGAATCATAGATTCTAGAAGAACTCGTAGATTCATAGATTCTAGTAGATCGGGTAGAATCATAGATTCTGGAAGAACTAGTAGATTCATAGATTCTGATAGATCTGGTAGAATAGATTCTGATAGATCTAGTAGATTCATAGATTCTGGAAGAACTAGTAGAATCATAGGTCCTAGTAGATCTGATAGGTTCATAGATCCTAGTAGATCTGGTAGATTCATAGATTCTAGTAGATCTACTAGAATCTATAAATCTACTAGATCTACCAATTTTTAAATCGGATTACTGTAGCCAGCCACTAGCAGCGTTTTGAGAGAATCTAAATCAGATCAGAGCTCTTAATGGACCTGTTCTAAGAATGGCTTCTGGCCTGGCCTAGTTTAACCTGTAACCTGGGATACTAAGTTTAACCTGGGATAGATTCTAGAGTCTGTAAACTGGACCAAGCCTTGATTCTGGCAAACCCAAGGACTTTTGACCTTTTTGACTTACCAGTAAAGCCAAATCAGACAAGAAAACCATTTACTGACTCTAGAACTCGACAAGAACACTACAAGAACGTTAACTCGTGAGATTTAACTTAGACAGTTGTTAATCATTGGCTTAATGGCTTAAAATCAATGGCTCAAACTTGTCAAACTAACGCACAAGGCTAGTACTTGACCAAAAACAAAAAAACGATTTAAACTTTCTTCAAATTGCAGCTTGGCATCTGGCGTCAAATCTCTCCATCGAACTATCGAGAGTGTCAAAAAATGAACGGAAGAAAAGTGTTGTCTAGTGAGAAATTCTGAGGGATTTATAGGTGCTTTAGTTTATTCATTTTAATCTTTTTCTTTTTCTTTTTCTTGCCAAAGATCTCTAAAAGATTTGATTCGAGTTTTCAGTGTCTTTACAAGTAATAAACTAATAAATAAACTAAACTTCTTCTTTGAATGTCTTTGAATAGACTTTGATGTCGCTTAAATGTACCCTTTCTGTGGCATTGAATCCTTCTTTTTCTTTCAGTATCAATAGAAAATAAAGAGTACAAAATCGTTGAAAAATTAAGAATTCAGTGCACTAGAAGAAGTGTGTTAATGTTTGAATCTAAAGTACACGAGAAAAGTTTTACAAAAAGCAATGTGTCATCATTTGCATTTGAACAGTTTGATAAACATTTCAAATTCTGTATTACGATAAGAAACAAATTACGGTACTTGTCGGTTTTAGCATTCACAAAGACTCAACTCGGTTAAGCAAGACAGCTGACAACTTGATATTGATACTCGGTACTTGCCGGTGATAGTTGCCTTGGTACTTGTCGGCCTTGGTACTTGTCCTTGGCACTAGAGACTCAACTCGTTTAAGCAAGACAGCTGACAACTTTTGAGTGGTGATTATGTTCAGTGGAGTAGAGTGATCAGTCAATCAGTCGAACGAAAATTGATAACTGAGAAGACTCGGATGGGGATGCTTCAAGATGTCTTTGTGGATGTAAAGTGCCGTACATAGTTTTTATTTTCGACTGATCACTTCAGACGAGCACTCTACTTCACTAGACATTCACTGAACTTGACTGAACCCCTCACAAGTTGTCAGCTCCTTGCTTCACCGAGATGAGTCTTTGTGAATGTTAAAACCGAGAAATACCCAAATTACGATTTGAAAAGTGATGTGTTTATTGTTTTTTTTTTGTCAAAAATCAATCATTTCCCTTGGAAGAGCCGTGAGAGGTGAGACTAAATCAAGGAAAATTTTGTTTTTAAAGATCTAAGCAAAAGGCAAAGCCATTAAAAACTTCAATGAACAATTACCATGTTCTTTCTAATATAGTGCACCGTGCCGAGCCGAGTTGATGACTATTTTATGGTTACGAAGCTTTCCCAGAAGCTCAACACTCAAATCCCCAACAAAATCTCATTGTCAGCTACATTTTCCGACCGCACATCGATAGGTTCTGATAAGCGGTTCTCGAGATTTCAAGCAATTATTTAAGCAACGCTTACAGTGCACTACCATTAGAGAGAATACGGTATTTACTAAAAATTAATTTCACATAAATCTACTGTAACTCTATTTGATTGTAAAAGCAGATGAAGTCACTAAAGCTGCTTTGTAAAAAACAGATAAAGTCTGTAAAGTTGATTTTCTCCTCATCACCTGATCTTCACTCGTTTGTTGCCCCAAAACTTTCTTGATCATCTCGTGCACAAATGAATCCGAATTATTGGTGTCGCCTAGGAAACGCATGATCTAAAAATTGCGATTGTTATTGTCATTGTCATTGTCAATGTCAATGTCATTGTCATTGTCATTGTCATTATCATTGGTTTTTATTCGATTTCAAATAGCTTTTTCCCTCGCCACCTCTTCTAGCGCCGATTTTCCCTGACCCGACAATTCATCTTTGACACTCTCCACTTTGTCGCCGAGTTGAGCATCCGTTTTCTCGCCGAGTACCTAACAGAAGAATTTTTGACATAAAACTAATTCCAAAATTTGAATGTAAAGCCTAACAACTCTTCGTTTGTCTAACGGAAAAGCATTTAGGCAAATCCATCCTGGCTAGATTTGGCTCCGATCAGAAGCCTTAACACTAATAGAAGAGTTCTAACTGGTTTTGGGATTGCTTAACTTATCAGATTAGGCAAAAACCTTTCTCTAGACAAGGACAAGGACTTTCTGATCAGAGCCAGAATTGATCTGCCAGAATTGATCTGACAGAGTCGATCTGCCAGAATTGATCTGACAGAATAAACCTGCCAGAATCGATCTGCCAGAATTGATCTGACAGAATCGATCTGCCAGAATTGATCTGACAGAATCAATCTGCCAGAATCGATCTGCCAGAATCGATCTAATAGAATTGATCTGCCAGAATCAATCTGCCAGAATCAACCAGCCAGAGTCAATCTGCCAGAATCAATCTAATCGACTCGACTTGTCTAAATGCTTCATCGCTAAAAGCTATCAACCAACAAAGCTGGATACCTTTAAGTTCACTAATTTTGAAAATAACTAATCAGTCGATCAAGTATAACATCAAGAATCTTGATCTTGATCTATATCCTCAAAAATTGCTTCAAAAAAAACCATATTCCGAAGCCCTTGAATGACGGTGCTGTTCCCGGAGCCGATGTAGTTCACAGCCGCGTTTTTTAACTGAAAATCTTTTAGATTTGGATTTAGAATTAACTCAAATAAAGTATAAACGACCATATTATATTTTTGAAAAAAAATTCGGGGTAGGCTAATTTCCGCAACTGGGTCTTTTGCGCAACTCTTCATAACTTTCTTCTAAGTCGGCCAATCTTTATGATGTTGGTTTCATTTTGTAGATCTTAATAAGTGCAAAAAAATGACACCAAAATCATAAAGATTGGCTTATTTAGAAGAAAGTTATGGCGAGTTACGCAAAAATTTGGCGCAAAGTGGCCAGCGCCCATTTAACCGGCTAAAAGAAAGAAAGAAGAAAGAAAGAAGAAAGAAAGAAAGAGAAAGAAAGGAGAAAGAAAGGAGAAAGAAAGGAGAAAGAAAGGAGAAAGAAAGAAGAAAGAAAGGAGAAAGAAAGAAGAAAGAAAGAAGAAAGAAAGAAGAAAGAAAGGAGAAAGAAAGGAGAAAGAAGGGAGAAAGAAAGGAGAAAGAAAGAAAGAACAATTCGTTCACAGATTTCCACAAAGTACATCAACAGTATCTCATAAGGATCAACAAAATCAGCAAAAGAAAATGCTTTATTGTGATGTGAATTTAGTACGCCAGAGAGGGCTTCTTTGCACACTTTGAGCACAAAGTACACCAAAAAGTGCTGACTTCATTGAATGACAGAATCTCTCCATTACCTGCTCATAATTGAAACCATTTTCCCCATCGAAAAGACCCCTCAACGTGTCGAAGAAACCCGAATGTTGTTGTAAATTTGTTGCTTTTTGATTCGATTCCCATGAGCCAATTCGGGGAATCTCGGATTCGGTTCGCTAAAAATCTCGGATTCGCTTTACAGCCCGTAATATTTAATCGAAAGCTATCGTAACCTTTACGTCAACTACAGTAACTCATGAAGACAGGCTATTGCAACCACAAAAGCTACTGTAATTCTTACGAGAAACTAGATAAAGTTATCGTAATCCTTACAAGAAACAAAGATAAAGCTACCCTAATCCTCAAAAAAACACAAAACTACAGTAACACTTCAATAAAAAGCTATCGTAACCTATTTGAAAAAAGAAATAGATTCGCCTACTGACTTACATTTGAAATATTTCAAATAGCATTGAGATCAGAGCATTTGATCAAAAACTACTTTTTCTCTTTTTCTTTACTTACTTTACTTACTTTTCATTTAATCAAAACCTTTTTCATTTAATCAAAAACCTTTATCATTTAATCAAAAACCTTTTCATTTAATCAAAATCTTTTTCATTTAATCAAAAACCTCTTTCATTTAATCAAAAACCTCTTTCATTTAATCAAAAACCTTTATCATGGACGCTTGGAGAAAATTCAGAGGAGGTTCACAAAAGTCGCTTTATGGAAAATTGACTATTCTAAATATTCTAGCTTTACTTATGAGGAGAGACTTGCTTTTTTTTGAACTAAAAACTTTACAGCATCGTCGCTTTGTCATTGATTTAGTCGAAACTTTCAAAATCCTCCGTTGTAAACAGATTAGCCCTTTGTTTATAGACTTTTTCAAATTTAAACCGCGGTCAGGGCCCAGAAGTGGCTCATTCCTTTTGCAAATTCCCTTTGCTTCCAATGCCTCTTTATCAAATTCATTTCCCGTTAGAGCCGCTAGATTATGGAACTTGCTCCCAAACGACATACGAGAAATTCAGTCGCTTTTCATATTCAAGAAACGTATCGATGCTTTAGATCTAGTGGCTCTTTGCCGTAAGTAATTGGCTTATTGATTTCAGTATGTATTGTATGATTAAGTATCACTGTGCATTTCTCTACGATTTCTTTCACTTTATCGTTTGAATAAAGTATTATTATTATTATTATTTAATCAAAAACCTTTATCATTGAATCAAAAACCTTTATCATTCAATGAAAAACCTGTTTCATTGAATCAAAAACCACTCAAACCCACCACTGCTTGAAGAAAAATCAATAAATAAATTCGCATTTTTAAAAAAAAAATTTTTAATATTGAAAATGATCGAGATTTTCGTGGAAAGATTAACTGGTTTTCAGTGAGGATTTTTGTCGGTGGCGAAAGGAAAATTGGTGGTGTGTCATGGGAAAATCAAACAAAAAAAAGAACCTTTTTTTTTGAGTCGATTTTCAACCAAATTACTTTTCGATTTCGAATGGAAATCGTTTCGAGAACTGCTGAAAATCTGATAGAAAATTGCCGATGAGGAGAAACGTAAACGCACCGTCATCGGGCCCGCCACAGAGAGAGCTTCAGTCTTAATCGTCTTAATCGTCTTAATTCATTATCCGTATGGCATTAAAAATTGATGTTTAGAGTCTTCATTTGAAAACGATTTCTTTTCCGTAAAAGTATTCCACAAGCTATTGTTTTTTTTTCGGTATTGGTCTTTAAAAATAGATAAACAGAAAAGAAATTATCGATTTGAAATTTGAAGAAGTGAAGCCTGAACTTGAACCTGAACTTGAAGTGCTTGAACTTGAAGATCTTGAACTTAAACTTGAACTTGGACTTCTTGAACTTGAAGGTCTTGAAATTGAAGTCCTTGTAGTTCTTGAAGTTCTTGAAATTGAGCTTGTAGTTCTTGAAGCTCTTGTAGTTCTTGAAGTTCTTGAAGTTCTTGAACTTGAGCTTGATGTTCTTGGAGTTCTTGAACTTGAAGCTCTTGTAGTTCTTGAAGCTCTTATAGTTCTTGAAGCTCTTGAAGTTCTTGAAGTTCTTGAAGCCCTTGAAGTTCTTGTAGTTCTTGAAGCTCTTATAGTTCTTGTAGTTCTTGGAGTTCTTGAACTTGAAGCTCTTGTAGTTCTTGAAGCTCTTGAAGTTCTTGAAGTTCTTGAAGCCCTTGAAGTTCTTGTAGTTCTTGAAGCTCTTATAGTTCTTGTAGTTCTTGGAGTTCTTGAACTTGAAGCTCTTGTAGTTCTTGAAGCTCTTGAAGTTCTTGAACTTAAACTTGTAGATTCTTCAAGTTTCAAATCGATAAAGTGAAATCTTCTCAAAAGAGTTTATTGAAGGTAAGTTAAATAAAGTTTTCATTGATTATTTTGTTGTCTTCTGAAAAATTATTAACTTTATACAGTCATTTTTTAGAAAAAAAAAGAATGATCTATTGCAAGAAAGAAAATCACAGATTGGCAAGGGGAAAGAGCAGGGATTTTGTTTTCGTTTTAACCGGTAATACCCGAAATTTGTGATTTCTGAAAGAGATTGAAGAAAGAAAAAGCACTGGGGAAAGTGAGGAAAGATGTAAAAAGATGTAAAAGATGTAAGAGGTGTAAGAGATGTAGGAGATGTAGGAGATGTAAGAGATGTAAAAGGTGTAAAAGATGTAAGAGATATAAGAGATGTAAAATAGTAAAAGATGTAAGAAATATAAAAGATATAAAACATGTACAACATGTAAAACATATTAAAAATGTACTGAATTTTATAATATTATCAAATTATTGAAAGTTTTAGTTAAAATTCAAGCGCCGGATCGTACTCGACTTCATTGTTGATGAGAGAGGGCTTCCGCTTTGGAGCTAAGTGTCTGAAACTGAAATATTTACTTTAATTAGTTTAAAGGGGTACTGTGCTATTGAAGAGCTCTAAAAAGAAGATATTCTAAAGTACTATGCTAAGCTCAGCTTACTGTAAACGGTATTACATTGATTTGGGACCTTTTTTCGAGAAAATTCTGAGTTTGAGGTTTTAAAGCGTGTCAAAACTACCGTACCCCATCGAATTTGAGTGAAATTTTATTTCATTTCATTCTTTTCATTCTTTTTCATTTCATTTTGTTCTTTTTATTCTTTTTTATTCTTTTTATTCTTTTTATTCTTTTTATTCTTTTTTATTCTTTTTTATTCTTTTTATTCTTTTTATTCTTTGGGGGTGGGACAAATGCGACCTTTTGCGCACCTGGACATTTGCGCACCTTTTTTTTTGCTGGAAAAGGCCTTAGGAAAGGTCGTAGAGCTTCAAAAATGTTTTCATATAAGGGAATCGTATGCGTAGATTCCGAATTTCGACAAATCAGACCTCGCTGACACGTCAAATTTGGGCTAAAAGGCAAAAACTACGCAACTTAACGCTTTTCCGCAGTTTTTGCCTTTTAGCCCAAATTTGACGTGTCAGCGAGGTCTGATTTGTCGAAATTCGGAATCGTATGCGTAGATCTGATTTGATTTGTCGATCTGATTTGTCGAAATTCGGAATCTACGCATACGATTCCCTTATATGGAAATATTTTTGAAGCTCTACGACCTTTCGTAAGGCCTTTTCCAGCAAAAAAAAAAGGTGCGCAAAAAAAAGGTCGCATTTGTCCCACCCCCTATTCTTTTTATTCTTTTTCCATTTTTCTGATGTGCTCGAGTTTCTTTTTGACAGGAAACAAAGAGGATAAAACTAAGCTAAGCTTTTAATAGCATTTTCGGGAGTGTTACGAGCTTTTTTTGCGCCCATTAAACATTTGCGCACCATTAGCGCATCATTAGCGCATCATTAGCGCACCTTTTGGTACTAAGGCAGTTGGGGGGGGCACTTTTTCTCGGGTAGTTTTATGCGTAGATTATGACAAAGACAACGAGAGCTCAAGAAAAGGCGTTTTAAGCCGGGTTTCAGGGCTTCAAAGTACGCACTTCTATGGTGTACTTCAAGAGCTCAAGCTATCGACTATTAGGCCACTTTTCAAGGTCAAAACTAGAGCCAAAACCATTTCTAATCACTAAACAATCATTTTCTAACTTAAATTCACTGGTAGAAACAAAACAAATCGAAAAAACATTTTTTTTTTGAGATTTTGCTCGATTTTGACTTTGGAAATCAAAATATTTCTTTTATTTTACTCCAATTTGATCAGAAACATAATCAGTAGGTTAAATTATGCCAGAAGAAGTGTTTTTGGCTTCAAAGAATGTTTTAAGAGACGATTTTTTTTAGACCTCTTCCGTATGTGTATCCCTCTGCTATCACACTGGATGAGCGTGCACTTTGAAGCGCCGAAACTCGGCTTAAAACGCCTTTTCCTAAGCGCTCGTTGTGTTTTTCGGAATCTACGCATAAAACTACCCTAGAAAAAGTGGCTTTGAAGAGAAAAAAAGTGGGCCTACCCCGCCCGCCAACTGTCTTAGTATCCACGTTTTTTCACTTTTTAAAAAAAGCTCTAAAAAGCGAATATTCACTATTTTCCATTCCAAAAGTTGTTTTTCTAGGTAATTTTAGGGCGTAGAATCCAAATTTTCACATATCAGAGCCTGTGGAACCAATTTGAAAGAGAAAACGGATAGGTCAAATTCCAGAAAATTGTACGGGTAGGCCTAAACTGAAGAGAATTCTCAATTTTTCCCTCAATGTATAACTCCATCTGTTTGCTTCCACAGGCTTTGATATGTGTTTAAGTGGTGTACTGTAGAAGAGCTATCGACAGTTATTTAGCTGGATATGTTTATCCGAGTCTACCTGAGCTGAAGATCTTTTTGAATTTTACAAAAAAAAAAACTCACGGTCTCACTTTGACGAAATCGAGATCCCCGGGCAACACCTGAAGCTCCTCAGGCATCGGGAAATCGGACTCGGGCTGTAATTGGTTTTTTTTAAAGCAATTGTTTCTTTAAAGCAATTGTTTCTTTAAAGGAATCGCTTCTTTAAACCAATTGTTACTTTAAAGCAATTGTTTATTTAAAGCAATTGTTTATTTAAAGCAATTGTTTATTTAAAGCAATCGCTTCTTTAAAGCAATTGTTTATTGTTTCTTTAAACCAATTGTTTCTTTTAAACCAATTGTTTCTTTAAACCAATTGTTTCTTTAAAGCAATTGTCTCTTTAAACCAATTGTTTCTTTAAAGCACTTGTTCCTTTAAAGCAATTGTTTATTTAAACCAATTGTTTCTTTAAACCAATTGTTTCTTTAAAACACTTTTTTTTAAACCAATTGTCTATTCAATTCGATCGACTGTATCTCTTAAAAAAAGCCTAAAACGAACCTCAAAGAGCGGCTCAGCCGATCGCTCCCAGCGGAGAACGCGGCGAGAGATCGGGTGCTGAAAAGTAAATGATATTAGAAAACTAGCTAAACGACTAAACGATATATCCTTTAAAAACGAAGATCTTCTTTTCTAAAACGTCTCCTTTCCCCTCTTTCTACCGTAATCTTGTCTCTATTTTTATACAATTCAATCCAATTCAATCCAATTCACTTTTTTTTTGATTTTTCGATATTTTTCGTGAACCTTAGAGAATTGAACAAAAATAAAATGAGTAGAGACAAGATTACGGTAGAGATTACGGTAGAGACAAGATTACGATAGAAAAAGGGAAAGAGTATGATTTAGAAAACGGAGTTTAAAAATCGGGTAAATTTTCAACGCACCTTGCTTTTCTCATTCCCCAATGAGGCATCATTTTCGGGCGGTGATGCGATGAGTTGACCGGGATGCTTATCTACTGTATATTTCCCTTTCAACAATTGCCGTTTATCGAATGAATAAACGAATGAGATCAGGGTGACGAAGAGGAGGATTTTGAGCATGATTTTCGAGGAGATTTGAGGAGAATCGACTTGCAGTTTGTGTGCTCGAGTGGAGTACGCTGAAAACGTGGACACTAGAATGGGAATGGTTACAAAAAATCTAGCATAAAGTACACCACAAAGCGAGAATCACGTCATGAAAGGATTTGTTTTTAGAGCACAAATGGATCGAAGCTTTTGGATCGAATCGAATTTTTGGAGAAGGATTTGGGAAAAGAAAATGGTGAGAGAGAGAAAAAAGGGGGAAGACCTGTTCTCATTCTCTAGAACTTTCATGCGAAACATTGAGGAGATTTTCTGGAAGAGATTGAAATGAAGCAAGAGAAAGATGTTGCTCTGTCAAAAAAAAATCACGGATTTGATCTTTGCTGGGAATTGATATCCGAAGGTTTTCGACTACGCTGATGCCGAATAGGTTTGAACCCCCAGTTGACCGATTTCGATATGGACTAGTTTGTTGGATAAAAGAATTTCCCTGTGCGAACGCACAGCGTAGACGTAATGAAATAAACGAGAGCTCAGGAAGCTGATAAGCTATTGAGGATGGGTTGGCTTGAGAGATTTGAAGGAATTTTGAAGCTATTGAGGATGGGTTGGCTTGAGGAGTTCGAAGGAATTTTGAAGCCATTGGATCTGTTAGCCTGAGAGATTTGAAGGAATTTTGAACCTATTGAGGATCGGTTAGCTTGAGAAATTTGATTAAACTTTAAAGCTATTGAGGATGGGTTGGCTTGAGGAATTTGAAGGAATTTTGAAGCCATTGGATCCGTTAGTCTGAGAGATTTGAAGGAATTTTGAAGCTATTGAGGATGGGTTGGCTTGAGAAATTTGATTAAACTTTAAAGCTATTGAGGATCCGTTAGCCTGAGAGATTTGAAGGAATTTTGAACCTATCGAGGATCGGTTAGCTTGAGAGATTTGATTCAATTTTGAAAACAAAACATTGAAAAAGTGTTACCAATTATAAAAGAAGTAAACAACTTAAAGATTTGAAAAAAGAAAAGAAAAGAAAATTTTTCCATTAAAATGAGAGAAAGTTATTTATACAAAATGTTTGAGAGGAGTTAAACATCAAAAAGAAGTGCTTACATGTGACGAAATGTTGAGTGTTTTTGCGATTTCGTAACACTCAATTCTTTGGGGTTTCGTTGGGCGTTCTTTTAAGCATTCTTTGAACAGAAACGCGACTTTCTGGTGCACTGAATTCCTCTTTTCTTTTTCCCCTTATTGCTGCAATGAAAAGTGAAGATTTCAGTGCACTTTCTAGTGAGTCTAGATTTGAGCATAAAGAGCAAAGAGCTCAACAAAGAGCCCAAAAAAGACAGCAATCAGATCCGGGTACAGTGATTGAAATGACTATTTAAGAATAGTAAAAGCTTTTTTTCTCAAATGACTATTTCGAATTTGTAAAGAAATTTGTTCGTCTAGGAGAAAGAGTGATCGAGAAAGAGAGTAAAGTAAAGAGTAAAAAGAGAGTAAAGTAAAGAGTAAAAAGAGAGTAAAGTAAAGAGTAAAAAGAGAGTAAAGTAAAGAGTAAAAAGAGAGTAAAGTAAAGAGTAAAAAGAGAGTAAAGTAAAGAGTAAAAAGAGAGTAAAGTAAAGAGTAAAAAGAGAGTAAAGTAAAGAGTAAAAAGAGAGTAAAGTAAAGAGTAAAAAGAGAGTAAAGTAAAGAGTAAAATGAGAGTACAAGATATCTTTGAACAGAAAAATGCTTGTATCTTTGATCTTTGAGGGAGATCAAAAAAAGAACCGTATTGGAACCGTATTGGAACCGTATTAGATCAAAAAACAAACCGTATTTGATCTTTGAGGGAATGGGACAAATGCGACCTTTTTTTTGCGCACCCGGACATTTGCGCACCTTGCCCATTAGGGCATCCTTTTTCGCGTTTTGCTCTAAAAAGCTCTAAAAAGCTAATATTAACCAATTTCTATTCCAAAAGTTGCTTTTCTAGGTAATTTGAGGGCGTAGAATTCAAATTTTGACATATCAGAGCTTGTGGAACCAATTTGATGGCTTTGACAGAAAGACAAAACGGCTAGATGAAATTACAGAAAATTGTCGATCTTTCTCTTTGTATAACTCCGTCCGTTTGCTTCCACAGGCTTTGATATATGTGTAAGTGGTGTACTGTAGAAAAGCTATCGATAGTTATTTAGCTGGATATGTTTATCCGAGTCTACCTAAGCTGAATATCTTTTTGAATTTTACAAATTTTCAAATTGGTTTCACAAGCTCTGATATATCAAAATTTCGATTCTACGCCCTAAAATTACCTAGAAAAATAGAAAAACAATATTTGGAATAGAAATTGGTTAATATTAGCTTTTTAGAGCTTTTTTAAAACGCTAAGCTGCGCTAATGGGCAAGGTGCGGGAAAAAAGGTGCGCAAATGTCCGGGTGCGCAAAAAAAAAGTCGCATTTGTCCCACTCCCATCTTTGATCTTTGAAAAGAAAGTACATCATGGAAAATAGATTTTGAATGTTTTAACGCACTTTTAAAACGATTATAGGTTTCGTTTTTCGATTTATAAAACCTTTTTTGAAAGGAATTAAAATTTAAGGGAAAAAGTGAATTTGTTTCATATCAACAATGAAAAGAAGTGCAGAAGAAGAGTTTGTTCGATGGAAAAGGAAAGGAAAGGAAGAGGAAAGGAAGAGGAAAGGAAAGGAAAGAAAGGAAGAGGAAAGGAAAGGAAAGGAAAGGAAAGGAAAGGAAAGGAAAGGAAAAGAAAAACGGAAAACGGAAAAGAGGTCAGTGGAACAATTGTGGAAGGGGAAATCTTTGAGATGTGACAAAAAGAAGAAAAAAGACTGGATTCGAAAAGGTTGCGACTTAATTCTTAACGAAAAAATGGGTAAAATAAAACGACGAAAATTCAGATGTACTCTTCTCCGTGCTGTACTTTATGCTCTCTGACAAAGAAATCTTTCCTATTGCACTTAAATTTCTCAATTTTTCTTACAGCAACTGCTTTTTATCGTGAGTTAGTGAAGTGCACTAGAAGGGATTTGTTTAAAGATGTTTGAGCCTATTGATGTTTAAAAGTGCTATAAAGTGTAAGCTAATTACATTAATAGACTCAAGACATTTATCTAGCGAAGTTTACAAGAAATATTTGGTTGAAAAAAGAAAGTCCTCTGGAAAAACGTTTGCACGATGACCTTTCAAAAACTAAGCCATTTAAAACCTAAAATCAAGTATTGCTTAGCTTATCTTTGCTTATCTTTGCTTTGCTTTCATCTTTGCTTTGCTTAGCTTTGCTTTACCTCATAAGAAATCGTTGTTCTTGTTCTTGTTCTTGTTCTTGTTCTTGTTCTTGTTCTTGTTCTTGTTCTTGTTCTAGTTCTTGTTCTTGTTCTTGTTTTTGTTCTGGTTCTGGTTCTTGTTCTGGTTCTGGTTCTTGTTCTTGTTCTTGAATGTTCTTTGAATTGGTAATCCTCGAAAGAATCAGAGAAAAGGGAACACGTTTTAGGCTTTCATTTTGATAACAATTCTCACAAACTAGCATTTTCAAGAAATTCTAATCAAACCTTTTCTTGAGAACTTTCCTTTCCAATCTAATAGTACTTTTTTTAGCTTTTTTTAAATAGTAATATAAAGCTTTCTTAAGCTCAAAGCACACGATTTGGAAATCGACATAAAATTTGTTCTTATTGCTTTAAAAAAACGACTCACCTTTTATTTATGTGAGCATGAGAAAGAGAAAAAATGATCGATTCAAGCGATTTCATTTGTCTCCTAAAAACGGCTTCATTTACATTCGATAATCGATTTTGTCTACAGTTTACCATTCCCAATTCAGACAGGCAATTTCTTTGCTGAGCCTCTTAACAAGTAGAAGTTAAAGGAAGGTATAAAGTAGGCTTTCGTTCTTGATTTCCCATCCGTTCATTCAACTCACCACAAATAATGTTCTTAAATTGGTAATCCTCGAAAGAATCAGAGAAAAGGGGACACGTTTTAGGCTTTCATTTTGATAACAATTCTCACAAACTTTGGCAATTTCTTTGCCGAATCTCTTAACAAGTAGAAGTTAAAGGAAAGTATAAATTAGGCTTTAGTTGTTGATTTCCCATCCGTTCATTCAACTCACCACCAATAAACTTCTCCTAATCGCCGCGTCCACTTGAACACTGTCGTATTTTTGCAATAAACGTCTGAAGCATTTTTTTGAATTAATTTTAAATTTCTATGATTTTTTTTACTCTTGTTCGACTTGTCGATTCACCCAATATTCTTCCATTTGTTTCAGAGATTCAACGTCTCTAAAATGATTTTTTAACTCCATTTTCAACTCCATTTTTAACTCCATTTTTAACTCTGCTTTCTAATTCGTTTCCTAAATCTTTTATCAGAGTTTGTAAAGGGATCGAGAGAGAAAATGTCGATAGATTTCATAGAAATAGGACAAGATCACGATAGAAAGAGACACGCTTTGAGGAAAGAAGAGAGGAAACAGAATTTGGAACTAAGATTTACATTAGTTACATTCAAGCTTAAGAATAAGTTTTAGATAGAAATACCCAATCATCTCTAATCTACAAATTTTAAGTCTACGAACTATAAAAAATAATAAAAGATTGAAGGAATTGGCAAAAGTAGAAGGAAGAAGGGATTGAACTTCTGAACTTTTGCTATTGCTTTAACCATTGAGCTATTCGGTAAATTGCCAAGAGAAAGAAGGAAAGACAAGGGGGAAGAAGAAAGGAAGAAAGAAGGAAAGACACGGGGGGAGAAGAAAGGAAGAAGGAAGGAAAGATAAGGGGAAAGAAGAAAGGAAGAAGGAAGGAAAGACAAGGGGGAAGAAGAAAGGAAGAAGGAAGGAAAGATAAGGGGAAAGAAGAAAGGAAGAAGGAAGGAAAGATAAGGGGAAAGAAGAAAGGAAGAAAGGAAGAAAGGAAGAAAGAAGGAAAGAAGGAAAGACAAGGGGAAGTAGAAAGAAAGAAAGGAAGAAGGAAATAACTCTATTCTCAAATGATTACAAAGAAAACAAATGAGAGTTTTCCTTCAAAGCGAACCTTCGATGTGAAATGAAACAATATGCAATCCAAGCCATCGAACAAACGATGTATCCAATGAAAACCAGCCAGAATTTCAACTCGATTTCCGATTCGATTTCTTCTTTTGTCTGAAAAAAGAGAGAACTTAAAGATACTTTACTTGGACTAATGCTTATTCAACCGATTTCCGAGATTCCTTAACAGTTAACATTAGAATGTTTTCCTCGCAAGTAATACGTTTTTTTTAAAAAGCAAACTTCGAAAAAATTTATCGTACTTTTAGGAAAAATTATTGCAGAAAAATGACGGAAAAAATGACGAGCGTCACCTTATATACGAAACTTTTTAAAGATATTGGCTTATTGATTTCAGTATGTATTGTATGATTAAGTATCACTGTGCATTTCTCTATCATTTCTTTCACTTTATCGTTTGAATAAAGTATTATTATACTCAGCCGTTTAAATGATTTGCTGGGAAATCCCCCATTTCAAAAGAAAATTAAGTCGTCAAATTAAGTTAGTCGACGAAAAAAGCGTCGATTAATCGAGTAAAAATTACTCGAGTAAATTACTCGAGCAATTACTTACTCACAAGGAACACACTCTAGTTAAAAGCTAAGTTAAAAGCCAATTTTAAATATAAGTTTAAATATAAGTTTAAATATAAGTTGAAAAGTTAAAATCTAAATTAAAAACTCAAAAACATGACTCAAAAAAGTATCTTTACAAAAGAGCTTTTTAAAAAAACTCACCACTTCTCCCATTGCATTGAGACTCAATTGAAAGGGGTAAAGCCTCTAAATTTACAAAAAATTAAAGTTAAATCAATAAAAAGATCAAAAAAAGATCAGAAAAAGATCAAAAAAAAGAATCCCTTTCCCATTGAGCTAATTGAAAAATGACTTTAAATAAAATCTTCTAGAAAAAAGAGAAAGAAAAAGAGAAAGAGAAAGAAAAAGAGAAAGAAGAAGAAAAAGAGAAAGAGAAAGAGAAAGAAAAAGAAGAAGTAAAAGAAGAAGTAAAAGAAAAGGAAAAAGAAGAAGTAAACGAACATAAAAAAAAGTCTGAAAAAGGGGCAAGTTTGGTAGAACAGTTGTCATTTGGGATTGACTTCAGAAAAAAGATTAACAAGACAATCAATCTCACAATTTTAAACATTTTCCAATTCAAAGTACAATCTTTTTAAGCTTTCCTGGAATGTTTTTTTTTTCAAAAGCACTTTTGTTTATGTAAAAAGGATAACTTTTCTTTAAAAGAATGAAGATTGGCCTAATTTATTTGGGGAGAACAGGAAAAGAACAACATTTCGTTCATTTAGATTACAAAAAAGGTCTTTAGATAGCTCTAGATAGCTACAGATAGCTCTAGATAGCTCTAGATAGCTCTAGATAGCTATAGATAGCTCTAGATAGCTATATATAGCTATAGATAGCTCTAGATAGCTCTAGATAGCTACAGATAGCTCTAGATAGCTCTAGATAGCTCTAGATAGCTATAGATAGCTCTAGATAGCTATATATAGCTATAGATAGCTCTAGATAGCTATAGATAGCTACAGATAGCTCTAGATAGCTCTAGATAGCTATAGATAGCTATAGATAGCTATAGATAGCTATAGATAGCTATAGATAGCTTTAGATGCTTGTGCAAGACATTTGTTGCCTTTTTTTAGTATTGCTTTTATCTGAAATAGTAACAATGTTTTACGGGTACCTAGTTTTAATTGTTTTAATTCTAGAATTGTTTTCAATTTTATTTGTTTCAATTCTAGAATTGTTTTAAAAATGATTTTATCCAGGCAAAGCAGGGAAAGATTCTTGAGAATCTCTGTTTTGAAGTGAATTTAAGTATCTAATCAAGTGGATATAAATAAAAAAGAAAGAATTAAATAGAGTTATGGAAGGGATTAATGATATAAATTTGTTTTATCTTGAAAAATGTTAAGTTTAAAAGTAGTTTAAAAGTAGTTTTAAAGGAGTTTTTAAAGCAGTTTAAAAGCAGTTTTAAAGTAGTTTAAAAGTAGTTTAAAAGGAGTTTAAAAGCACTTTACAAGTAGTTTAAAAGCAGTTTTAAAGTAGTTTTTAAAGTAGTTTTTAAAGTAGTTTTAAAGTGGTTTTAAAATAGTTTAAAAGCAGTTTAAAAGTAGTTTTAAAGTAATCGAAAATAGATGATTGAGCGCGTGAAAAATCGACTTTTAAAAACTTTAAGAAAAAGATTTCCGGAAATAATGATGATAGATAATTTATTCTGAAGATGAATTCTGGAAATGAAATAAAGATTAATACAAATGAATTATCTAAATAGAGATTAATACATTAATTCATAGATTAATACATGAATTCATACATAGAAACATGAAAAGAGTCGATAAAAACAACACAATATGATGTATTTAATGTATTTAATATATGGATAGGATAGATTTGATGTATTTAATATATGGATAGGATAGATTTGATGTATTTAATATATGGATAGGATAGATTTAGTGTATTTAATATATGGATAGATAGATTTAATGTATTTAATATATGGATAGATATATTTAATGTATTTAATATATGGATAGGATAGATTTAATATATTTAATATATGGATAGCATAGATAACGCTAATTTTGCTTAAATCCAATAATTTACTAACAATTCACTTATTTAAATAATCTTTTAAGAAAAAGATCTATAACAATTTAAATAAAAAGTTTTTTTTTTGAATTGAAAGTAGACGAGAAATCTTTGTTGGAAAATTGAGTATTTGCCAGGGCTTAGCGCTCCTTTTTTCGATAGAAAAGAAACCATAAAGTGAAAAGAGAAAAGAGAAAAGAGAAAAAGAAAAAAGAAAAAAAAAATGTGAGAGTAAACACAGATGTGTTTAGAAATGAAAAAAAAGGGAAGGGAAAGGGACAAGTGTGTGTCATTGTTGAGAAGTGATGGAAAGAGTGGATCCATTTTTGATAAGGACAGTATTTTGCAGAGTGCTTTAGAATTACCCGGATTCACTTTCAGAATAGCCAAAACGTCGATCTTCTTGTATTTTCTGGAGATGAGTTTTGATATGTTTAGAAATGGAGATGGAGTTCTGGTGATGAATTTTGATGTTTAGAAATGAAAAAAGGGAAGGGGAAGGGAAAGGGACAAGGCTGTGTCATTGTTGAGAAGTAATAGAAAGATTGGATCTATTTTTAGGACAATATTTAGGATAAGGACAGTATTTAGGATAAGGACAGTATTTAGGATAAGGACAATATTTAGGATAAGGACAGTATTTAGGATAAGGACAGTATCTAGGATAAGGACAGTATTTAGGATAAGGACAATATTTAGGATAAGGACAGTATTTTACAGAGTGCTTTATACCCGGATTCACTTACAGAATATCCAAAAAAGGTCGATCTTCTTGCATTTTCTTGAGATGAATTTTGATATGTTTAGAAAAGAAACAAAGAAAAGGGGAAGGGAAAGGGATAAGGCTGTGTCATTGTTGAGAAGTCATAGAAAGAGTGGATCTATTTTTGATAAGGACCGTATTTTACCGAGTGTTTTGAGTAATTACCCGGATTCATTTTCAATATTGAAGAATGGCCAAAACGTAGTCGATCTTCTTGCATTTTCTGGTGATGAATTTTGATATGATCTCCTTTAACGATGTCAATTTGATAGTTGATTAGAGCTCTCAACTTTATATGAGCTTTTAGAGTTGAAAGTCGCGTTTTTTTTGTCTAGCACACTAACACTTTTCGGGATTAGTCACCTCAGCACAAATCCTTGAGATCTATTGAGAAAAATATCATTTTACCAAAAGGCAAAACATTTAACGATAAAGATTAAAAGATGATTCTAATCTTTGAATGAAAAAAGAATTAGAGATCTCTAATCGACTATGAAATGGGTACCGTTAAAGGAGAAATCTTCTTGGATCTTCTTCTTAAAGGAGAAACCTTCTTGGATCTTCTTCTTAAAGGAGAAATCTTCTTGGATCTTCTTCTTAAAGGAGATATCTTCTTGGATCTTCTTCTTAAAGGAGATATCTTCTTGGATCTTCTTCTTAAAGGAGATATCTTCTTGGATCTTCTTCTTAAAGGAGATATCTTCTTGGATCTTCTTCTTGAATGTATCTTCTTGGATCTTCTTCTTGAATGTATCTTCTTGGATCTCCTTCTTAAATGAGAAATCTTCTTACATCTTCTTCTTAAAGGAGAAATCTTCTTGGATCTTCTTCTTAAATGAGATATCTTCTTGCATCTTCTTCTTAAAAAAGAAATCTTCTTGGATCTTCTTCTTAAATGACATATCTTCTTGGATCAGAGAATGCAAGAAGACCGACTACGTTTTGATGATTCTTAAAGTTTTGATGATATTGAAAGTGTATAGAATAATTATATAGAATGACTTTTGGGTAATTCACCTAAATGTCTTCAATCATTTTGTTGCAAAGAAGAAGAAAATTTAAGAAAAGATTAAAAAATAGAGGGAAATTTTTGAAAGTCTTCTTATCAGAGCTGATGTTTTTGAGTGACTGATAGCTTTTTTTTGCTTTTCCTTTTCAATCTTCCGCTAAACTTTCACATAAAAAAAAGGTGGAATTGATTTCTTTTTCCATTCACTAAAACCCGTCTTTAGTGAAATTTGGTGACAAAAAAAACGGGTTTAAAATGAGGAAAGAGAAAGAAAAAAAGCTACAATGGAAAGGAACAATGGAAAGGGATTTTACTTGGAAGAGCCTCAAAGTTATGGTGAGGTTTTGTATTTTAAATAGTAAACATTGCAGTAGCTAAGCTTAAGCTTTGCATAGAATGTTTTATTTAACGGATTTTCGACACAAAAAAAGTAATGCTTTGAATAATGTAATGATAATGTAAAGAAATATTCTTTGCGTGCTTGTTACTTCTTCACTTGTTCTTCACTTCTTCACTTGTTACTTCTTCACTTGTTCTTCACTTCTTCACTTGTTACTTCTTCACTTGTTCTTCACTTCTTCACTTGTTACTTCTTCACTTGTTCTTCACTTCTTCACTTCTTCACTTGTTCTTCACTTCTTCACTTGTTACTTCTTCACTTGTTCTTCACTTCTTCACTTGTTACTTCTTCACTTGTTCTTCACTTCTTCACTTGTTACTTCTTCACTTGTTCTTCACTTCTTCACTTCTTCACTTGTTCTTCACTTCTTCACTTGTTACTTCTTCACTTGTTCTTCACTTCTTCACTTGTTACTTCTTCACTTGTTCTTCACTTCTTCACTTGTTACTTCTTCACTTGTTCTTCACTTCTTCACTTGTTACTTCTTCACTTGTTCTTCACTTCTTCACTTGTTACTTCTTCACTTGTTCTTCACTTCTTCACTTCTTCACTTGTTCTTCACTTCTTCACTTGTTACTTCTTCACTTGTTCTTCACTTCTTCACTTCTTCACTTGTTCTTCACTTCTTCACTTGTTACTTCTTCACTTGTTCTTCACTTCTTCACTTGTTACTTCTTCACTTGTTCTTCACTTCTTCACTTGTTACTTCTTCACTTGTTCTTCACTTCTTCACTTCTTCACTTGTTCTTCACTTCTTCACTTGCTACTTCTTCACTTGTTCTTCACTTCTTCACTTGTTACTTCTTCACTTGTTCTTCACTTCTTCACTTGCTACTTCTTCACTTGTTCTTCACTTCTTCACTTGTTACTTCTTCACTTGTTCTTCACTTCTTCACTTGTTACTTCTTCACACGTTATTTCTTGTTTCGAGATATCTGATCTCACTTCAACTCACTTCAACTTCAACT